GCTACTGGACCAACCCGGCAGCACCCCAGCTGCTCTGCCCCAGGCGTCCCCAAGTCAGCCGCTGCTGAAACTGACCAGCGCTGACTGGGGGGGGGATGTCCAGTTTCCATAAAGTACCCCGTGGTAAGTCAATCATTCTGCAATTTTTAAACAACCAGTCTGTGCCCAGAATCATTTCATCTGCCATGTCTGGAGTCTGGTTCAGATCTCCGTGGGTTCTAAACCCTTGCACGGAGAAAGGCACTCCTGCCCACTCCCATCCAATGCTGGGCTTCCCTTGGAAGGACTGCAGCTTCACTTGTTTGATTTTAGTGCCGGCAGGCGGCTGAGCTCTAATCAGTGAAACTGCAGCTCCAGTGTCAATTAAAGCCAACGTAGGAGCACATGTGCCCTGCTGGATATAAATACCTGGTCGACCTTCGGGGTCCCACGCGATTTTACTGATGAACCTCCGGGCTGTGTCTACACTGGGCCACTTATTCTGGAAAATCAGCCGCTATTCCGGAAAAACTATTCTGCTCCCGCTTGGGCATAAGTCCTTATTCTGGAACACTGTTCCGGAAAAGGGCCAGTGTAGACAGCCCAGTAGTCTTTTCCGGAAAAAAGCCCCGATCACGAAAATGGCGATCGGGGCTCTTTTCTGGAAAAGCGCATCTACATTGGCCACAGACGCTTTTCCGGAAAAAGGGCTTTTCCGGAAAAGCAGCCTGCCAATGTAGACGCACTTTTTCCGGAAAAACTGAAAACGGAATAGTATTTCGTTTTAAGCAGTTCCGGAAATTCATGCCAGTGTAGACACAGCCCCAGTGTGGTGCTCCTACAGATGGAGGAGGTTCAATATCCAGAGGGTATCCCTATACTGTATCTCCTGGGAACGGGAGCGGGTCCGTGACTGCAGGAGGAAGGGGGGGAGCGGTCAGCGTTAGTACGCTCGCTACTCTCCCTACTCTCCCCTATCTCCCCTCCTTAGAAAACATCTGAAGCTTAAAAGCTTCTGCCAATAAGTCCCGTGTGGGTGCCCCATTCCGCCTTCCTCTATCTGCCCCGTGCTGCATTAACACCTTCCAGGCCAGGCAGCGAGCGTCTCTTTCAGTTAACTCTTCCTTGCCCAGAGCTGGGGTGTCTGTTTTAAAGTTCTGGGGGTCCGGGTACAAATTATCCCTCTGTCTTCCTCCACGATATCCTCTACCCCGAGACCTACCTCGAGTGTGTGCTCCCCGTGCCTCAGTGATGCCTTTATTGCCACTTTCATTAGACTAAGTAACTAATGGCTCTAAGGCTGCAACATATGCCACTCTTTCTTTTTTATGACAGGCGCAGGACCGGAATATGTAACTATCTGCCGGACTCAGTTCTCATAATGTGGCAGGCTGGCCGGGTTGCCACACTCCCAGTCTCATTGCATAAAATGGTTGTAAGGAGGCAGCCCATTCTCTTAAGGAGTCTACACTGAATGGCACCAGGTCCAGTTTGATGGCACTATCACGGGTAACTAAACCAGCCATCATCTGCATGAGACCCCATCGGGTTAAAAATATTTCAGGGTGCTCATCAGTTTCCTGTGAGATTGCAACGACTTGGGCCAGGAAATTATGCCTGCCCATCAGTTCTGCCAATTTTGTCAGCACATCCATTAGCTGGTAATCCTCCTCAATCCTAAACCTGTCTATACGTCCCCGCATATCTGGGGCTGCACAAATACTCATTAGGCGGTGTAGTTCGTGTGAGTTTAAATCCTCCCTTTCTCCTAGTAAAAGGGCCTGTACACTCCATTTAGAAAAAGTTTCCCATTTTAAAATCCCCAGCCACTTTGCCATGGCCTGGAGATCCGAGGCAGAGACAGGCACTGTCGTTACTGTTTCACTCCCACCATCCTCTCTCGTGGAGGTGACTGTTCTCTTTGTGACTGTTGCAATGGCGTTTTGGCTCTGGGGGGAGGTATCTACCCGAATATCCCCTCCCCAGTCTCCAGAGGGGTCCCAAAAATCTGCCCCCTCTGGGGTCTCAAATGTCCCTTCTCCTGAGGTTACTGCTGCAATTTGTCTATTTGCAAAGCCCAATTTTTGTTCCAGTTGTTTAATGAGCGATTTACAGTGGTTATGGTCAGCAGCGGCTTTTCCCTGTTCTAAAATTAACTTTTTGACCATTCCCTGTAATACCTGATTTTCTTTTTCAGTTTTCTCCTTCTCTTTTGCATGCTCCTCTAAGATTTGAGAGTGTTGCTTTAACTCTCTGTACCAATCCTTAAGTGCATCTAATTGGGTTTGGGCACTGATGGTCATACATTTCCATTTCTCTGCTTCTGCAGCAGAGGCTTGTAAATCTTGGTGCAGGTTCTCATTTTTATTTTTACATTCAGCCAATTGAAGGAATACCTCATTACAGGCTTTCCATAGAAGCCAGACTGCGGCTGCTTCCTTTTTCATTAGAGTTGAGGGTTTTACATATCCAGAAGTAGTTAGCCAATTTGTCTTCTAGATCGGAAATTGTATGGACATCAGCTAAAACTTGATCAGACCAAGGGCTGTGTCCGAATTTTTGCAAGATTTGCTCAAAAGGGGTAAGATCTTTTATAAATGCTAATTTCTCAGTCTCGTCTCTGGGAGCCTTCTTAACAGACTGCTTACATTTGAATATTTTCTAGTACACCCAACCTCCTATTGGGACGAAAATAACAATACCAATCCCTCTTTTCTTTTTTAGGAGTTAATGAGTTTCTCTTGCTGCCACTGAACAGTGTGTCCAGGAATGGATTTGATGTCTCCTTGGCCAGTCTGTGTCTCAGGGAAGCAGGCCCGGCACCTTGTCAGCCCTCAGCTCTGCCTGAGAGCCACAGCACCAGGAGAAAACTTTCCCCTACAAAGGCTGAAGAGCCGAAGCAGCCTGTCCCATATCTGCTTGGTCTTCACCCCGTAGATGATGGGGTTCAGCGTGGGGGGCAGCAGGAGATACATGTCGGCGCTGAGAATATGAAAATACAGGGGCATGTTCTCTCCAAAGCGGGATGCAAGTGAGGAGAAGAGACGTGGGATGTAAATGGCCAACATAGCACATAGGTGGGTGCCGCAGGTCCCAAAAGTTTTGAGCCGGGCGTCCTTGCTGGGGAGTTTGAAGATGGCCCGGAGGATCTGGGTATAGGACAGAACAATAAAAACCACGTCCAGACCGGTCGCAAAGAATAGCACAAAGAGGCCGTAGTAGCTACTGGCACGGATGTCAGCGCAGGCCAAGCTCACCACAGCGAAATGCTTGCAGTGTGTGTGGGGAATGATGTTGGTTCTGCAATAAGGCCACTGCCTGGCCAGCAGGATATAAGGCAGGGCGATTATGCTGCCACGCAGCAGCATGGCCAGACCGAGCTTAGCCACCACGTGGTTTGTAAGGATGGTGGAATGTCTCAGGGGATGGCAGATGGCCACGTAGCGATCCAATGCCATGGCCATGAATATCCCAGACTCAACCATAAAGAAGCCATGAACCACATACATCTGGGTGAGGCAGGCGCTGAAATCGATCTCCCTGGAATTGAACCAGAAGATGCTCAGCATTTTGGGCAGGATGGACGTCACCAGGACCAGGTCGGTGACGGCCAGCATGGAGAGGAAATAGTACATGGGCTCATGGAGGCTCGGTTCCGTCTTCACAATGAAAAGGATGGTCACATTCCCCATGAGGGCTATGATGTACATGATGCAGAAGGGGATGGAGATCCAGACATAGGCTGCCTCCAGGCCAGGGATACCCAGCAAGATGAAGGTGGAGGGGTTGGTGAAGTCGGTTGCATTGGAATATGACATGGAGTAGAGGAGAAACTGGCAGCAATATGGTGTCTCCTGCGTGTACAGCAGCTTGTGCCTGAGTTCTAGGATGATGGTCGCAGTACCAATGCCTGGGAGGAGAGACAGCGGTAATATGAGATTTTACACCTGCTACTAGAGGCTGTTCTCATCCGTTAAGTGGGCTGATCGCTTGTCATACACCAAAATACAATATGAGATATAGGGACTCCCCCATTCAACCCGTTGAGCTAAATCTGAGATTGAAAAAAAGAATCTTAGCCTCTGCAAAGGTATGTTCCAGGAAGGAAAATGCCAGCGAGAACACCCCTCTGATCCGGGCAAAGCCAAGGGGGACGTTGGTGGCCGCTCCACAGAACACCTGATCATTCTCAGCAGTGCTCGGGAAAAGAAAGGGTTTGGATGCCCAAGAAATGGGATGTAGAGCAACGTGCTCTGAGCACGTGTATTGGCTGCACAAGTGTTACTATAAAGGGCAGAGCAGAGAGCAAGGGGGTTTCCAAGACTGGTGGTGAGGCTGTGGGAGGCCCCCATATGCTGATCATCAGAAATGTTGGGGACCGTTTAGTTTTGCGAATACATAAAGGGATGACTCATACCCCCGGGAAAATAAAAAATGGAACCGATCACATTGGAATGGGCAGATAGAGAATCCCTCCTCACTTATCGTATCTATCGGAAGTGCTTCCAAAGGGCTGGTTCCCCAAAGCTGAAACAAACAATCAGGAACAAAAAGGACGTGGAGGAAAAATGTAGGAAGAAAAATGGGAAAAAAACGTGGAAGTTCCATCAGAATTAGTTTAAGAGATGATTAAAAAAGATTCCCTAGTCAACGAAGGGGAACAAACTTGGGTCAAAACCCATCCATTTGCAAAGGGAAAGCAGCAATTCATGGGGAAATGGGAATATATGTATCAACCTGGGTGGGGTGGGAGGGAACAGAGCCTAACCGATGGGAAGTTCTGAAAATTGATAGGGAATGGAAAAGACATTAGGGAAACCTCCATGCTTGACAGGGGTAAGGATAAGAATAAGATTTTCTTTAAATGGGCATTATAAGGACAAAAGAAATCCTGGGAAAGTTTAAGGCCAATTACTAGATGGATTAAGGTATTTTCTTAATGTTGTGTAGAATTACAAACATCAAAGATACCAATTGATCCTTAACCCCTTATCTCATTAAGATCCAGATCTACAAATGAGTCAAAAATAGGGTGTTTATGGTTTTTTAAATATATATATATAGAGAGAGAGAGAGCGAGAGAGAGAGAGATTTTTTTTTTAAGAAAGGTGTGACACGGTTAGGAAACAATGGAAAAGTTGGTATGAGTTTGGGGGAAAAAATGTCTAGGAATATTATTAATGCCAATCTGGTTTGGTGGCTCAAGGAAACAATGCAGATCAAATAGACTTCATTTTATCGGAGGCATTTCATTCTGTAGGAGAAAGCATTCAGCGAAATTTACTCTACAATCACACACTTTATATGGACTGAAAACTGGCTGATTGTCAGCTGTCAGAAAGCCATTGTCAGTGGGCCCTCATCAGGGAATGGAGCTGTTTCCAGTTTAAATGAAGTTAATGGAGATTGCCATCTTCTAGAACTGGAAGGGACTTTGAAAGGTCATTGAGTCCAGTCCCCTGCCTTCACAGCAGGACTAAGTACCATCCCTGACAAACTTTTGCCCCTTCTCCGTAAACGGCCTTCACAACGATTGAATTCTCAGCTCTGGGTTTAGCAAGCCAATGCTCAAACCACTGAGCTATCCCTCCCCCGCAGGTTGGCTCTGCAGTGATCAGATCTAGGCCTGATCCATGATCTGGACGCAAATGGAAAATTGGTGCAGATAAAATTTGCGGAGGGTGACAATGAGGAGGCCAGGGCAGGCCCACAAACTGATTGGCAGCATTTGGTGAGCTGAGCCAGGCAAGCCAACTGTTTAATACAATCACATGCTAAGTTACCCTAGTGGGGGCCAAAGGGCTGATGGGACCTTTAGGTGAAAAGCCAGGGCAATGGTGAGTTGCGGCGACAAGAGACAAAGGGTTGAGCAAAGAGCGGCCACTGAAATGCAGGCGCATAGCACTGGCACACACACACCATCAGTGGAAAGGACCCGGGCTGCTCAGAGGGGAACGAGTCATAAACGTATTCTCTACCTCAGCACGGCCACGATTTTCTGCGTTTGTCGGGCAGGTCAGTTCGCAGCCAGAGCTGGTACCTGTGAGTGCTGAGAGCGACGTGGCTTCCCTGGGAACCCCCCTCAGGCAGCTGCGTCCCGCACCTCTCTCAGCCCAGCGTCTGTAGCAGCGTCCCGCGCCGAGAGCCAGCACAGGGCTGTGCACTGGTTATAACACAGCTCTGGGCTGTCCCAGTGGGGTTGGCTCAGCCCCTAGTGGAGAAGCAGCATCTGCACGTATACAGGCCAGAGACCAGCCTGTCTGTGCTCTGGTGATTTTATCCAGATTTAGGAGTAAACAGCAATAAAGGCCCTTCCCAAGGGAAGAGGAGAACTCCTGGGCTCTGGGCTGAGTCAGGGAGGAATTGGCTGCTTTGGACATGTGTTTGTATTTAAAAACTACAGTAGATTAGGAAGAAAACGAGGGACAATGCCCAGGTCTCCACAGCGTCTGAGACCTGTCACTGCCCAGGGGGATGGGCAGACACTGACAGACAGATCTGGAGAGAGCTGACCGTGGGGGACAGGAATTCCTTCTGCAGGCGCGCAGGCTGTGGCTAAGGGAGCCCAGATCAGTAATTCCCCTCAGGAACGACCATCGCTCTGGGCAGCACCTTCCATTGAGGGACTTTGCAAGCACTTAGCACAGGAAAACCACTCTGCACATATCACCATTGCACACATGGGTAAACTGAGGCATAAAATAAAAGTGCCCCAAGCGAGTTTGAAGACAGGGGATCGGGTCAGGGTGTGTAAAAGGAAGTGTATTTTTGAAAGGCGAGCAGGTTTCAGGGCAGGGGGAGGAGGGCTTTGGCCCGGGGACTCAGGGCAGAGAACTGAGGGGTCTGGGAGAGCATGTGAGGCCCCCTGTGGTGACAAGGCCACGCTGCACCAGTGATGGACACTCCCTGGGGCACCAAGGGCCACATTGCTTGGATGGTGGCTTCTGAGGGGAGGGGGCGGCAGGGCTTTGCTTTCATTTGCCGGCCACTGGCTCCTCCCTGGAGAGGGGCATGGCCTTTATGCCCGGCCTTGACCGGTGGCTGGTCTAGGGAGAGGGCTGTGCTGAGCACTAGTTCCTCCGGGGGGTGGGGTGGTTTGCATCACTGGCCCTGTCCGGTGGTGACGGGGAGACCTGGCCACAGTTGGCCTTTTTCTTGCCGGTGTGGCCGCGCCCCTGTGGTCACTGTTCCGCATCACTGTCCCCCACACGCACTGTCGCCTTGTGGTCCCTGCAGGGCACGACTGCCCCTTCCTCTCGTGGTCTGGGAAACAATCCCATTCCAGGCACATCCTAATCTCCTGGCACAGCCGAACCCTGACCTGGCTTACCGATGGGAGAAGAGGAAGGGCACAGCCGAACCCTGACCTGGCTTACAGATGGGAGAAGAGGAAGCTGCATCCTGTATCTGGTGGTCCTGGCTCTCACGGTTTAGGAGGAGTCCTTGTACAAATGGAGTTGGGGTTAAGGGCAGGGAATGGGGGGTGCAGGAGTCAGGGTAGGGTCGGGGGTCCTCAGGGAAGAGGGTAGGAGCACATGAATCTGGGCACATGGTGGGGGGCTGTAGGCTGGGAGGTGGAGGGGGGCTCAGGGCAGCGGGTGGAGTTGAATGAGTTCCAGCAGGGGATTTGGTGGGTGGGGAGCTCAGGAAAGGGGGTAGCCATGCAGCGGGCTGGGAGATGTGTGGGGGGGTCAGGGCAGGGGATGTGGTTGATGCAGCTGGGGTGGGTTGGGGTCTCAGGGCAGGCGAGTGGATAGGGGGGTCAGGGAAGGGAGAGGAGGGGCAGGAATAAGGGCAAGGGGTAGAGGGCTCATGGCAGAGGGTAGAGGAGTCACAACAAGCGGGTTTGAGGAAAGGGGTCTGGCCCCGGCTGCCAGCTCATCCCATGGAGAGCCAGGGATCCGCTGCCCAGCCATGGTCGACAGCTCCTCTGGTGGGGGCTGGGGCTACACTGTGGGGCCCAACTGGAGGTAAAATGAAAGGCACCAGCTCCAGCTCTTGACTCTCACCTCAGTGTGGCCACCCCGCTTTGGTCACTCTGCAGTGCCCGACCTGCGGAGCATATGTGGTCCTCCCGTTAGCCCCTCCCTTTCCGTGTTGTGGAAAACAGTGAGATTCCGGGTACATCCCATTGTGTGGCACAACCAAACCCTGACCTGAAATTTCTGAATGTCTTTTTGCCCCCACCAAATAGCAGGAAGACTCCCAACATGGGACTGGTTCTTCCCCTTATTCAGATCTTGGGGTGTGTGGAGATAGATAGATAGATAGATAGATAGATAGATAGATAGATAGATAGATAGATAGATAGATAGATAGATAGATAGATAGATAGATAGATAGATAGATAGATAGATAGATAGATAGATAGATAGATAGATAGATAGATAGATAGATAGATAGATAGATAGATAGATAGATAGATAGATAGATAGATAGATAGATAGATAGATAGATAGATAGATAGATAGATAGATAGATAGATAGATAGATAGATAGATAGATAGATAGATAGATAGATAGATAGATAGATAGATAGATAGATAGATAGATAGATAGATAGATAGATAGATAGATAGATAGATAGATAGATAGATAGATAGATAGATAGATAGATAGATAGATAGATAGATAGATAGATAGATAGATAGATAGATAGATAGATAGATAGATAGATAGATAGATAGATAGATAGATAGATAGATAGATAGATAGATAGATAGATAGATAGATAGATAGATAGATAGATAGATAGATAGATAGATAGATAGATAGATAGATATGGGACTGATCTTTCCCCTTGTTCAGATACAGCTGT